GTTTTGATGTTTTAGTTTGCACAATTTCCCATGCATGCATTATTCCTTCACATGCAATTCGCACGCCCAAAAACCCTACCAACTACTCTTCTTCTTCTTCTATTTCTTTCAACAATATTAATACTACATAAAATTAATTACGTATAATTATTATTTATAAGGGTGTGATTCAATCTCGTGTTCGAATTTCGAATGCCAATTGTGTTATCGATCGTGTAATTCTCTATATACATATTTTTCCCGAATTTTAATTTAGTCCTAATTAATTATTAGCCTGAACTTATGAAATTTGCCAAGATTAATATATTACCTCATGACTTGGATCCACTATGTGGAAAAATTAAATATGAACTAAATGGAGAGAGCAGATTTACTAATAATATTGCTAATTAATTAATTAATTAATTAATACTACATAGGCAATTGGATGTCAAATATTAATGTTGGTGCTTAAATGTAACGGATTAGGTTCATAAAACCGAGGCTGAATTGGTCTAATGAAATCACAAGTCAAAAGTGTTTGTTGTCGAAAACTAGGAGTGTGCCTTTGTCTAGTGGATTGTACTAAAAGCACCAGCACCCCATAATGTTATGTTTTTTTTCTTCACAAATAAGCCAAATCTAGAGCTTAATTATTTTCCACTAATTATTCCAAAACATAGAGCATATATTATTATCCCACTATAATCTAGTGTTTTTTTTTGCAAAAATTATTATGAAACAGCTAATAAGTAGCTATTTTTGGCTCATAATTCCTTTTTTAAGTAAATTTAACAGAAATAAAAGCCAAAAATCAATTTAGCATCATGAAACAGCGATCATAAGCTATTTTTGGTTCAGAATTCCTTTTTTTAAGTAAAGATTTAAGAGAAGTAAAAGCCAAAAATAAATTTAATATTATGAAATTGCTTATAAGCTATTTCTGGTTCAGAATGTGTTTTTTAAAGTATTTGCGAAATTAAATTAAGTGTGGGCTTTTACTTTCTCATAAATTAATCTCATTTAAATTATATAAATTGCATTGAACATTTGTACCGTGTTAGTATTTAATTATATTCTTTTTTTTAATCTAAATCCGTTGTATGATGAAATTTAAGATACTTTATAAAAGTAAGCTAAATAATAAAATTTTATATCAATTTCCGAAACATCATTAAACTTTCATATTCACCAATTTTCACTTTTTATTACAACTTTTTCAACCATCATCAAAGTCGGAAAGGTTAGCCTTGTATGTAAAAGTATATTATATAATATGTAAAAGAACAATTATTTGAATTGAGACAAAGAAGTAAATATAATAACTACTATATATAATAATGTTTACAAGACTTCAATGTTTGCGGCTCCTCTCCAACAGGGTATCAAATCAAATAGAGGGCTGGAATTGTGTCATAATATTATCTATTTATATAAATAAATTAAGGGTCGATTTCATCCGTATAATCTAACTACATTGTATCGGATACCGTCGAATCCAGCTGCACTCCGTCAAATATACTTCAACCCTTCTCTTCATCGCTGTCATTATCGAAACTCTACCACACAGTCACACACACACATATCGTACACATACATACACACATACGCACACACATACTATTTTCATTATAATACAAACATATTTCGTTAGAGAGACTCCAAATCTAACGTTACATCCAAAACGAGAAAAGGGCACAAAAACTTTTAGCAAAAACATAATACGAGTGTCCTTAAAGCTATGTAGAATATTAATTAGGGGTCTTGAGCTATTATCACCATAAATTAAATGACTTTTAAACTTAGGTAAAAACTGGTATTTGAGATTTCAGACAACAATAGGGCAGACCAGAAAATTAAAATATAGTATGAACATCTTCTCGTAGGAAGCGCCCATGTACTTTGGACAATTTTAATATAATTAAACAACTTAAAGCTGCCTAGCTACAAATGCATTGTCAACATAAAGAAAAAGAGGTCGAATCCCACTTCTCTTATATTATTAATTATAATTTCACAGATATTCGACAATAGGATCATAATGTTTATATTATAAAAATTAAATTCTCTTAATTAATTAACCCAATCTAGAAATTCAACATTAATAATCGAATGGTGTCAGCGTAGGGATAGTATTAGGTCAATGGTTCAATTTTCTTTGGGTTCAATTGTAATTTGTAGGCCATTTTATAATTTAAATAAATAAAATGGAAAACTTACAAGAGAATTAACAGCATCTCTCTCGAATCTAACATACAAGAGAACATCCATAAATTAATAATTTTTTTTTAAATAACAGTTTGATCCCGACCGGTAAGAGATATATACTAAATTAATAGTTCGATAATTTAACATTTCATTAACTTAATAGAATTTTGTTAATCCCACCTAAGGGAGGTTTAACTGTAGTTAATGCTAAATAATTAAGCCCATGGGTAAAATTGTAAATTCACAAAGAGACATTCTTGCCTATAAATACGCTATTATGTACGGTATACAATTGATGTGGACTAGTGAAGAGTAGTCATAAGTTCATATTCTCTTTGAATCTTTTTTTCTTCTTGCTCTGAAAAAATTTAATATTTTTAATTCCGTATATTCAGTTATTCCATAATTCATATATATAATATACACCCAAAAATGGAGGAGCAGAGACACGACACCACCGTTTCACGGCCGAGCCACCACCACCACCGCAGCAGCGGCGGCGGCGGAGCAGAAGCTGACCACCAGAGGATTCTCCACGAGCCGGTGAGGTCGCGGTGGACACCGAAACCGGAGCAAATCCTGATTCTCGAGTCAATCTTCAACAGCGGCATGGTCAACCCTCCAAAGGACGAGACCGTCAAAATCAGGAAGCTTCTCGAGAAATTCGGCTCCGTCGGCGACGCCAACGTTTTCTACTGGTTCCAGAACCGCCGCTCCAGGTCCCGCCGCCGCCAGCGCCAGATGCAGGCCGGCCTCTGCGGCGGCGGCGGAGGTGAGCATCAGCAGCAAGCTCAGCCGCGCGGCGGCGGCAGCAACGGCGGATATAGTGGTGGTGGTGGAATTCATTATGAAAACCTTTTGTCCGGCGGCGGCGGTGGGTTAGTTGCTCCAAACAATCATCCAGTGATTTCTTACACGAGCTCGAATTGTGTGGTGGGATCTTCTTCTTCTTCTTCTTCATGTGGGTTTGATGGAAATATAATTAATGGTAAAAACAATTCATCAGATGATCTGTTCTTGTTCTCGGGTCATCCCGGTTCGGTTCAAGATTATGACCCGAACCCGGGTTTCTGCTTCGCCGGCGGCGCTTCCACTTTGAACTATCAACCCGGTAATCTTTTTCACTTCATTTAAAAATGAAATCACAAATAAAAACTTCTTGCACTTAATTATAAAACCCTAACTTTCTGACTAGAGTCACACACACGCGCACATCTGCATATATTTAATTCATGGTACACGAACAAAAATAATTGTATTATATATTAAAAAGGAATGATGAAAAATAAGCTGTTTCTTATTTTTCGTGAGTA